GTTTGACCCTGTTTCCCTCCTAAGTATCTTCCCAAAAGAGTTATAAGCATCATACCACAGTTATATATGCACACCCATTTTTATAGCAGCACAATTTATAATAGTTAAATCTTAAAAATAGCCCATATGCCCATCAACAGATGAATGAAGAAAACATAGTGTTCATATACAATGGAGAACTACTCTGCCATAAAGGATAAACTTTAGTCATTGTAGGAAACGGGATGCACCTTGAGACCATAATTTTAAGAAAAATAAGTCAGACACACATGTTTAAATATTTGTTTCCCTTGCATGAGAAACCCATAGGCCAAACAAGGAGTATAATGGATGACAGTTGTCTTGAAGTATGAATAATATGGTCAGATGGGAAGGTGAAGGGAGGAGGGGAGGACGAAGGGAAAAGATAAAAGAGATAAGAAAACATGGAAACACAATTCTGTAAATGGGGAAAGGGTCAGGAGTAGGCAACGAGAAAAAAAGAAAAAACCTTGTCAAACTACTAAATTTTATTTTCTTGATTTTCTGTATTGTTTCTCTATTTTGTTTATCCTCTTCTAATTTATTTCCTTATTTCTGATAGTTTAGGGTCTAGATTGTCTTTTTCAAAAACCTTAATGTGTAAAGTTTACTGATTTGAGGTTTTTTTTTCACACCTGACTGAATCTAGAATGTGTGTGATAATTCATCCTGCAGTGCTAAGATTAAGAGTGTTGGAATTAAGGGTGGGTCATTGCTTGATCAGTCCACTCACTGGATGAATAGCATTCTAATCCCAGTGGGCTGGATACAGTATGAGGGACAGAAAGAGGACTGTCTGTCCCCCACTGTTGCTTTTGCTGTCCTTTGCCACCATGAAGGGTTGCTCCTCGGCCATGTGCCACTCTGCCTTGGAGCTGGTGGATTATGGACTGAAACCTCTACAAATGCAGGTAAATAAACCTTCTCTCTTTTAACTTTGGACATCAGGTATTTTGTCTCAGCAAAAGAAAAGTAACTAAGACAGGGTGTCACTACGTAGCTCAGGATGGCCTTGAACTCTCTGTGTAGCCCAGGCAGGCCTCAGACTTGCAGTGATCCTCCTGCCGCACCCTCCCAAGTACTGGGATTACATGCATGTGCCACCACACCCAGCTAGATCCTCCTTTCCTAATGCACAAAGCTTAAATATGAATGTCTCTCTCAGTACTACTTCCACAGTATCCTGTAAGTTTTGTTACATTGTATTTTTATTTTTGTTCATCTTACTCTCTAATTCCCTTGTGCTTTCTTCTTTGACTTACTTGTTTAAAATAGTATTAATTTATACATATTTAACAAACGTTCACCTTTTCCTTGGTTTTTGACTCCTAATTTCATTCCACTATTGTCAGATAATTTTAACAGTCTCGATGTTTTTAAAATTTATTGAGATTTATTTTATAGCTTAACAAGTAGTCTATCCTGGAGAACAGTTCATATGTAGTAGAAAAAAGCTGTTATGTCTTCTCAGTGAACTGACCATGCCCTTCTGTTCCCTGTAACAGTTTTCCTATTACTTCCCATAAGGTCTGAGTATAGCCACGCCCACTCTCCAGCTTCAATCTTTCTCTTGTTTGGTTTGTTTGTTTGTTTGTTTGTTTGTTTTAATGGGTACCAGGGATCGAACTCATAACCGCCTGCTTGCAAGGCAGGTACTTATGCCGCTGAGCTAAATCCCCAGCCCCTCTTTCTCTTGTTTGGAGTATCTTTTTCCATCCTTTCACATTTAACCTGTTTGTATCATAAGATTTCAAATAAGGCTTGTTTGTTTGTTTGTTTGTTTGTTTGCTTGGCTGGTTGTTTGGTTTTTGTTTTGTTTTGTTTGCTTTTGTTTTTGAGATAGTGTTTCACTATGTAGTTCAGGCTGGCCTGGAAATCATGGTACTCTTACATCAGCCTCCCAAAGATCTAAAATAAGTTTCTTGTGGACAGCATATACTTGGATTTTAAAAATCCACTCTTTCAGTCTCTGCCTTTTAATTGGAGAGTTCAACCGACTTACATTTAGTTACTGATTATTTTGCTTTGTTTTCTGGATGTCATATAATTTCCTCTCCAATTTTCTTTATTACTGCTCTTTGTGTGTTAATCTCTTTGTAGGGTATCATTTTTATTCCTTCTGGTTTTCTTTCTGTAGAGGCTGGAGTTGTTCTGTTTTGTTTTTGCAATATTGGATATTGAACCCAAGGACTTCACACTGAGCTACAGTCCCAACCATTCATACATCTTATTTTGAAACAGGGCCTTGCTAAATCACTAAGTTGCTAGACTGGGCTCAAACTTGTAATTCTCTCACTTCAGCTTCCCAGAATGTGAGGATTACAAATGTGCACGACCATGCCTAGCTAGTTTTTGGTTATTTCTTAGTGGTCACCCTTGTGATTACAATTAATCTGTTAAACCATCTATTTTTTTTTTTTTGTACCAGGATTGAACTCATGACCTCATGCTTGCCAGGTAGGTGCTCATAAACAGTCTATTCTCAAATTAATATAACCTAGTTTCACTAACTATAGCAGTTCTGCTCTCTCTCTCTCTCCTCTCTCTCTCTCTCTCTCTCTCTCTCTCTCTCTCTCTCTCTGTTTTGTTGTTATGAGCCTCAATTTTATACAACATAGGCCCATTAATATATACACTGGTGTTTTAAATTATATAAAAATTTAAAAAGAAATACACAGTATTGGCCTCTGTATTTACCTGCATATTTTCCTTTATTAGTGTTATTTCTTCATATGACTTCAACTCACTGTCTTACTTTTCTTCCGCCTAAGATTATCTTTAGCGTATCTTTTACTGCGGATTTGTGGCAACAACGTCTGTTTCTGTTTGTTTGAAATGTATGAATTTGTCGCCTTAGATCTGGGACCTTGTTTCTTTTAGTGAGAAATGGCACTTCAGCACCACATCATGGGCACTAAGAATGCATAATTTCTGACTTGTTCAGTGTTCTAGGTTATTTAGTGAGTCAAGTAAAATACCTTACTAGTTTACACTGATACTTCCAATCCAAATGTGGAACTATAGGGTTTTAACTTTTCCTATAAATCTGCATCTCCTTCTTCCATGAGCATCCTGGCTCTCAAGAACAACAGGAAACAGAAATAAACTATCTCGGGCTTGAAATGTATGTAGCTCAGTCATAGAGGGCTTGGTTAGCAAATATGAGGCCCTGAGTTCCATCAACAGCACTAAGGTGGTGGGGATAAAAATGAACAACTGCATAATTATCAAAATACTCACGTGTTTTATCCTAAATTACCCATAAGCAGTCCCAAAATAACACAACTAGTTTGCACACTAATTTGATGAATAGAAATGGTTTAAAATTTTTGCATTGGCTTTCACCATTCTTTCCTATTTTAGTTGTGTCAGAGGATATATTCATATTTTTCCCAGTTACACAATTAGCATTAGTTCTACAAACAACTATGTATTCAATGTTCATCACCAGAAGCATTAATACTGATGTTTCTCTAGTCATTTTGGTTAGTTGTCACCTAATTTTTATTAGATTCCTAAGGAAATGGCTCATGGGAAGAATATTCCAGCAATATGTGAGTGCCAATGACAGTTTTTGCCTTTTATACCTGAAAGTCAGTTTTGCTTGTCTAAAATTCATGTTCCCATTTTCCTTGCTGAAGTATATTAACTATGTCCCTCCACTATCTTTTGGCAGAAAGCATTACAATAGTAAAGTTTAGTTATAATTTTCTTCTTCTGTAAGCTAAATTATCTAGATGTTTACAGTTTCCTCTACTTTTCCTTTACAGTCCACCAATGTTACCAAGATGTTTTGGTATTGGTACTCTAGGTCCATATTTGCAAGTATCCGATGTATACTTTCAATATACAGGTTCATAGTTTTTGTTCTGATCCTTTGCTTGTTTCAAATCCAGGACTATTATCACTACACTAGGTCTTTTATTTTTTCTATTAACAATGTTCACCATTTTCATCTCTTCATTTCTTATAGTTAGAAAAATCTCCATGTAGTCCTACATATAACCCTACAGTTATTGCTTTTAATCTATTTGCTGTTGCATTTAATTATTCTTAGTCTAATTTAGTCTTCATTTTTCTTTGATTTCTAATTTTTTCCTGAGATTTATCATCTCATTTTTGTAGTTTTTAACTTATTTTCTTAAATATTTACCTTGTTAAATGACACACTACAGTTTCATCTGTTTGCCATGGGCTTTCATTATCCACAGAGAGATTTTTACCTGTGTTTTGTTTTGTTTTTTCTTACAATAAGCTTGTACACTGGTTTACCTGAATCCTTTTCTATTGCATTCAAAAATAATAAATTGCTTTTCCTGAACTTTTAGAAGATACTATTCTAACTTCACTGAGCTATCTTCTGTCTTCATGTTCAGTTTTAAAATGTGGCGACTTGATTTTGAGAGTTTCGGATTCTGTTCCCCTTTGGCTCCTTCAGAAACTTTGACTCGCTCACTGCTGGATTAGGTAACACTTTTTGAATGTCACCTGCTGCTCTCAGATCAGCCCATCACACACTCCAGTGAACACTCACTGGCTTCTTCCCCTACAGAGGCTGATACCATGGCTTTCTGATGGCGCATAGTAACTCATTTTGCTGTAAATGCTGCCACAGGTTTTTGGCTTTGCCCTCTAGTTGCTCTGTGTTTAGGAAAGAATTCAGAGAGACTTAAAAACCATGTCATCTCAGCTGCTCCTGCCACTACCTGCCAATAGACTTTGGACTATATGGTCCAAAGTTTGTGGTTTGTGTGTTTGTTGCTTTTGGTACTGGGAATCAGATTCAGGACCTTGCACTTGCCAGGCAGGCATTGTGCCGCTGAGCTATGTTCCCAGTCCTGGAGTATATTTTAAAGGTCATGAGAATTATTTCTATGGAGAAAAATTTTTGAAACAAAATACCTTCAAAATCTTACAGCTTTTTCAGAAATAAAACAAGTAAAATAGAAAAAAAAAGTACCCATTTTTTTCCTGCTTACCTCAAAAAGTCTGAACAAGCGGTATCTTATTTCATAATTAGTCCATAAGACCATAAAAAAGGCATTCATTGAAATGGTGCTAATCATAATTATCTTAAAGACACGACTTGTTATGACTTTCTTCACAAATGCTTGACATTTTTCATCTTTCCTCCTGTCAAAAAGGTAAATAAGAGATACGGGTATCACATAATAGAGGTAGATTCCCACACAATAAACATGATTTGGGGGGGGGGATGTAAAATATTACCATTATTTTTAATTTATAAAATTAGCAAAGAATTAAACATGGAAATATTTAATCTTGGCAAGAGTAGAGTAGGGTAAGGCATTTTCAAAACTCACCAGGGAAATCTACATTGATTGGCTTCTCTAAAGAACCCCAGAATTATTCATTTCCTCTCTCCCACGGAATCCACCCCAAGAGAATACAATCTGAATACAGACAGTAACTTTGGCTAGAGATGTTTATCCTAGAATTAGTTATAATAATGAGAACTTAAGACCAATTTAACTCTAACAAAAAAAAAACTGGTTAAATAAACTATGGCACATCTATCTCATGAAATGTAGATACTAACATATGTTTATGCATTTTCTTTTTAGTATGGGAATTGAACTCAGGACCTCACACTTGCAAGGCAAGCGCTGTGCCACTGAGCTACATGCCCTGCCTCTCTATGCATTTTTTAATGTTTTGGGAAAGTGTTTAACCTGGTCAAGAACAAAACACAGAAGCAAAGTAAAATACAAAGTTTGCAGTTTATAGTAGTCTCGTCTGTGCAAAAGTGATTAGAAATAGTTCAGCAGGAAATATGCTAAAACAATAAGTGTCTGCCTATGGATGCTGAGATTACAAGTCATTCTCCGACCTATTTACATTTGTATATGCCTTACAGACTTTCTCAAAAGAGTATTATTTTTCCTACTATACATAACAAATAAAGCCGACTTCACAAAGGTAATATATATACATGTACATAGAATGCAGCTGGGCGTGCTGCTCTGTGCTTACACTCCCAGTAATGCAGGAGACTGAGGCAGGAGGACTGCTGGCAGCCAGAAGTTCACGACCAGCCTGACAACATAACTACGACGGCCATCTCAACAGAACAACAAAACAAAATGAAACAAACAGAATCATCTACCTTTACAATCTATAAAAACATGATGTACACTTTGCATTGTCTGACTTGAGATAGGGCCCATTTTAAAAACCCTTCAAATTCTGCATACAGCATCCAATAGAAAAAGACAGCGCTAAATCAAGTCAGCCACTCAGTCTATGGGTTGGTAACAGTGCGCCAACCTCGTCAGCCAGAGAAACCAGACTTCTAGGGACATGTTCCTCCTTCTGAGAAGCAGCTGAGCGTCTGTGGAAAAGCCCGACACCCTGCTGCTATGTGCCCTTCACAGATAGCTTAACAGGGGAAATAGAGAACACTTACCTAAATTTCCTGTATTTCTCATAGAGCACACCTGATGCAAAATCAAACAGTGAACTAGAAAAGACTTCGGAGTCCCCTTTAACGGGCTTAGACATTTTCCAAGTTTTTAATATTTATTCCTCACTTTTATCATCCAACTAAAAACTCTCTGCTTAGGGACTTTTCTCTGCATCTGCATTCCAGGCAGCAGCAGAGAAGGCCCGTGATGGGAACCTCTGCTTTATGAGGTCACTCTTGGGCATTCCAGCAAGTCACTAGCCTGTGTGTCCCTCAGGGGCTCCTGACAGCACTATCCATGGATCCCTCTCCCCAAGACATGGGGGTTCCTCAGCTCAGCAAGGGGGTTACAAGCACCCAGCAATGACAAGGCTCTGTGACACTAGCAGACACAAAAATGTGCCAAACAAAGGTTCTTTCTTCAAGAAGTGTCTCATCTGGTAGACAAAGGCCTTTAGTAATGTGTTAGAAAAGTTAAAGGTCACATGAAAGGAAAAAGCAAAGTTCTCGGGGATTCTGAGAGTGAGAAAACACACCCAGAACCAGCAAGAGAAATTCCTGGAAGAAGACTATGATGGGTTTGGGGCTAAGACAAGGAAACTAGGAAGAGCAGAGAAGGTAACACAGGCCCTGCGCTGGTTACCTGGGGGCATGGATAGACACATACCGACCTTCTGATGGGAGGACAAGGGGTAAGCCTGGGGACTACATATTAAATACAAGAGCTATAGGAATTCTTGTTCTGTTTAGATCTTAAGGTAAACAGACCCTCTTCTTTCTACACTCTGTGGCTTTCAAGCCAAATCAAGATATAATCTGCAAAGTTAATATGTTATTTATTTAATGGTTATATTGATCCATTTAAGAAAATGTGATAATTTCTGCTATCCCTGTTATTCTTTTTAAAATTAATTTTATTGGTATACTCAACATACATAATGATCACATTCATCACAGGGAATTTGTACTGTACATATCATCTTTTTATTTTTATTTTTTGCACATTCTCTTCCCTTCCCTTCCCTTCAATCCCTTCTTCCCTCTCCCTTTAAAAAATTTTGTATCTGTTGTTTTCCTTCCATTCTTTTTAATTTCTTACTCCCATTCTCTCCCTTCTATTCCTGCTCTCTTGCTGTCCTTGAACATTTTCTTCCTACTTCCCAGTATCCATCATCCATTTTGGTCTTTACCCTTCCAGTTTATCACAAAGAGAAACAATATTTAAACATGTGTGTCTGATTTATTTCACTTAAAATTATGGTCTCAAGGTACATCCAGTTTCCTGCAAGTGACTGAGGTTTATCTTTATGACAGAGTAGTTCTCCACCGTATATAAATGTACTTTTTATTCATGTATTCCAAGACTCAGTCAGCTACACTGAACTGTACGTCTATGTTTATGCCTTACTGTAATACGATGCTTTTTTTTTTGTACCAGAGATTGAACTCACGACTTCGCACTTGCAAGGCAGGTGCTTATGCCATTGAACTGAATCCCCAGACCTGTAGCTTGATGCTGTTAACCCTTTTGAAAAGATACATAGGAGGAAAACAGATAGTGGGTGCTGAGCAAGAAAGCAGGAAGGCCTCCTTCCTGGTAAGCGGTGGCGGCATTTAAGCAGCAGGTGTGCCAGGAAAGAACAAGTCAGTGTGTCACGTGACCAGTGGCAGGCTGAGAATCAACTATCCCAGTCCCCTCCCCTCCTCACCCCATTAGCAACTGGATGGTGTCCAGGTCATCCAGAGTTGATAGCGACTAAGGCACATAAAGCAACTAAATGCTTGTACTGTTTGACTGATTATGTTGACCTGGGGCCAGAGGTCTGAGCATCTCTTGGGAGGATGACAGTAGGCAATGTAGCAAATATGGAGGATTTCCTTCTATCTTCTCTTTGAAGGCCAATATTGTTTTCCCTGTTTTGCTTTGTTCTGATGAATTGTTTTGCTCTATTCAATATTCTGTTCTGACTGGTTTTATAATGTTATGTTTTTGGTTTGATTCAGCTACACCCGATTGAATGGACAACTATTGTGTAGATAACAAGATACACTATGGCACCTATTACTGTTAACCTGGTGTTCTGCTCTGAAGTTCTGTACCATTTTCACTGCATTATCTCGACTGGCTTTGGTCTGCCTTGTTTTGTTGTGTTTTACTACTTTCAAAATAAAAAATAAAATAAAATAAAAAAGGAAAACAACTGGGTCAAATGGAACCTCTAGCTTTAAATTTTTGAGGAATCTCTATACCAACTTCCATAGTGGTATCAGTTTACAGTGCTACCAACAATGGAAAAGTGTTCCTTTCCCCCACGTTGCCAGCATTTGTTACTGATTTCCATTCTTTCTGGATCAGATCGTTTTTTCTCTTTGTGTTTTTAAATTAGCATTTCTCAAATGACCAGAGATGTTGAACACTTTTTCATATATTTATTTGTTGTTTATATTTATGCATGTGAGAAATGAATGCCTATTGATTTCAGGAGTCCATTTTTGGACTAGACCTTTAAATTTGGGGAGTCTGGGCCAGGGATTTAGCTCAGTGGTGTTTAAGTGCCTGCCTGCCTGGCAAGCACAAAGTTGTGAATTGAATCCCCGGTACCAAAAAATAAATAAAAATAAATTTGGGGAGTCTGATTTTTCTTGAGTTCTTTCATTTTTGTACCTGGAATCAAACTCAGGACCTCACACCTGCCAGGCAGGAAATGTGCATTTCCCAGCCATTTACATATTCTAGTTATTAATCCTTTGTCTGAAGAGTAGCTAGGAAAACTTTTTTCAGTTCTGTGGGTTGTCTTTTTTTTTTTAATTTTATTTAAGGAGAAAAAGAAAAAAAGCAGAAAAAGGGTACAAGTTATACAGAATTTCAGAAAAAATAAACAGTAGGAAATCACTAGTTAATAGATTACATATTTTCATCTTAGAAATAGTTGTTCAAGTTACAAAATTAAAGCATATAAAGTGGACATTCAAACAGTGAGACAGCAAGCAGTTCTGTTCAATGATCCAACAAAAGTCAGTAATATGGTTATCTATCTTATACACTTAAATATACATGCAGTTATGTCCTTTAGAGCACTTTCTTTTCCTCTCTTTTGTACAATGACAATTACACATTTTGGGTTTTATTACTCTGTGGGTTGTCTTTTTTTGGTTCATGGTTTCTTTTGCTGTGCAAAATCTTCTTAATATGATGTGATCCCAGTTGTTGATTCTTTCTAATATTTCCTGTACAATCAGAGTTTGTTCATAGTCTTTGCTTAAATCTATGTCTTTCAGAGATTTACCTATTCTATATTCCAGCAGATTTAAGTGTTTCTGTTTTAATATTTAGAACTCTAATCCATTTAAATTTTAGTTTACTGCATGGGTCAAGGTTCAATTTTTATCCAGTTCCCTAGAACCAATTATTAAAGAGGCTATCTTCTTCCAGTGAAGGTGTTTCACTCCTTTGTCAAAGATAAGGTAACTGTGTGTGCTTAGAGATGTTTGTGCATCTTCTATTCAGGTCCATTGATCCTGTGCCTTTTTTTTTTTTTTTTTTTGTCAGTACCATGCTGTTTTAATCATGGATGGTAGCTTTGTAGAATAATTTCAGATAGGGAATTATGACACCCCTGCCTTGCCTTTATTTCCCAGAATTGTTTTTGTTACTCTAGGTCTCTTCTGGCTCCATATGAATTTTAGGACTACCTCCTCTAGTTCTGTGAGGTGTGCTATTGGAATTCTGATTGAGACTGCATTAAATCTGTACAATAGTTTTAGAAACATGTCCATTTTCACTCTACTGGTTCTGCTATCCAAGAATAAGAGATATTGTTCTCTTTTCTGATGTCTTCTTCCATCTATTAAGAGTACTGTAATTTTCATTGTACAGGTCTTTTACTGCCTTTATCAGATTGATTCCTAAGCATTTCATTTTTCTCAAAGCTACAGTGAACCAGTTTTTTTTTATCTATGCACAGTAATACTATTGATGTTTGAGTGTTGACTTTGTGTCCTGCCATACTACGGAGTCTTTGTGGGAGCTTCTGGGGTCTTCTACGTAGAGAATCATGTCATCCACAAATAATGATAATTTAACTTCTTCCCTTCTTATCCTTATTCCTTTTATTTCTTTTCTTCTCAGATTGCTTTAGCTAATGTCTCCAGAACTATATTGAACAAGAGTGGTGACTCTGACCATCCTTGACTTGTGCCTTAATTTTAGAGTGAGAGCTTTCAGTTTTTGACCATTAAGTATAACGTTGGCTGTGGGTTTGCCATAGATGGTTTTTTTTAAATCAGGTTGAGATAAAAGCTTTCTATTCCAATTTTCTGTAGGATTTTCATCCTGAGTGGGCGCATTGGACTCTGTCAACTGCTTCCTCTGTATCTACTGAGATTCTCTTGTGGGTTTTGCCCTTGGCTCTATTAATGTGGCATAGTGCATTTATTGATTTGTATATGTTGAACATCCCTGCCTCCCTGATACATTGTGTCAACTTGACGAGTTTAGAAATTTAACCAAGAGATTCAGCAGGGAGCCAGGATCATTATCTTGTAAACATCCTTAGCCTGTGTTAGAGGAGGACATAAGATGCTGCATTTGCACCTGCTTGCTACGTCAGCCCTGGGATGGGGAGTGGTAGCCTGCTTACAATATAAGGGAGGAAAAGAGGCTTGTTCCCCCACTTCTGCTCCTGTTGCTTTGCTATCTTCTGCCGCCTTGAAGTGTTGCCCCAGTGCCATGTCACCGTGCCTTGGAGCCAGCTGATTATGGACTGAAACTTCCACAAATTGTGAGCTAAGTAAACCTTCCCTTCCTTAATTTTGGATGTTGGGTAGTCTCAGCAACGAGAGAAAAGTAATCAAGACATCATCCTTGACTTGTACCTGATTTTAAAGATTTCAGTTTTGGGCCATGAAGTATAATATTGCCTGTGGGTTTGTCACAGATAGTTTTTATCAGATTAAGACTTTCTATTCCAATTTTCTGTAGGATTTTTATCCTGGGGGCATTGGACCGTCAACTGCTTCCTCTGTGTCTACTGAGATACTCTTGTGGGTTTTGTCCTTGGTTCTATTAATGTGACATATTACATTTATTGATTTCCATATTTTGAACCACCCTTGAAAACCTGGGATGAATCCTACTTGGTCATGATGTACAATCTTCTTGATGATTTTCTGTGTTGTTTACCAATATCTTATTGAGGATTTTTGCATCTGTATTCATTAAGGAGATTGGCCTGT